CATTTGTATTACGAGCGGGATCTCAGTAAGCATCCCGTCCCGCCTGGCCGGGATCATATAAACAGGCCCCTAATCTCATCCCATGATACTGAATCACAGTTTGTAAGGCCCCTTTTACATGAGACCAGGATGAAACCAACCTGGAAAATTGAAATTGCATGTCAACATGTTTACATGAGACCAGTATGAGAATCACAAAATTTTCAATTTATTCCCCTTGCCAGGCAATTAGATGACTTTTGTTAGCATGTGTTGTTCACTTGTTCCAATGTCAACATTCATTCCAGTCTGAATTCATACTGGTCTGAGAGTCAGTCGGCTTGGTCCAGCAGGCGGAATGACTTGAGACCTCATGTAAACATCTATTATATATAATATAATGACCAAAACGAAATGGTCCCGGTTAATTGACTTCGTTCCAGTCTCACGTGAACTGGACCTAATAAAATCCTTCAAAAGTTGGCTAAATTTTTCCAAAACTTCAGTCAATATAGTTTTGTAGTACACCAATCCCAAGATCTGTCACTAAATTATGGGTTGATTGACTGAATAGATATAATTCCCAAATCATGATTTTTGAAGTTAATTTGATAGATATTTTTAATTGCATGGATCATTGGGTCATACTTTTCTGCTATTTAGCCTTAATATTGTAGACTTTTTTCAGAAAAGGAAGTGCAAACAAGCGCATAAAATAGCAATTCTTCTTCAACTAATGGGCAACAATTTCTAAATAGCAAGGAAGCTGAATACTCTGAATGACTGTATGGGTATGGACTATCCGACTGTGGATAGCTCTTTCATGGGCTCTGCTCAGTTTGTATGTTGTATTAACTTATGTCGAGCCATTGCAAGTGAATTTAACAAAGCCAGCGAACAAAATTGACAAAAATATACACGATTTAGTTGCACATTTCAGCTTGGAGTTTGGTACTATTTCAACTGTCAATTCGACCTCGAACTTTGAAAGGTTCAAAACCTATCTGTCTCATGTTTGCTCACTCTATAATTTTGTATACGCACAGGTTTTCATCATAACTTAATAACAAATTATAATTTAGGTTTTGGAAATCATTGGTTTTTTATCAGGAAGCAGTGCGCGCTAACACTCTCGGACAACATTTCGACGGCCATTTTTAACCACCAAATTAAACAGAGTATATAAATAAAATAACACCCGAAATAAAGTTTTTTGTTACTTAAATCTTATCTTTAAGTTTCTTATAATAGCTGAAAGTAACAAAAACATATAAATTTTACACAAGTAATATTTTATAAAGCAATAGTTTCAACATACCTTCTGATGGGTCATATACGCGTAGCCATATTTGTTTACAATTAGAACGTCTTACCCCCCGCGAAGCCTGCATCACGGATGGTCCGCTCGATGTATGGCCGTTTCTACGCCCTCTCTCCCTTCGCCCTGATAAAAACAGATGACGGCCCACCATTTAATGGAAGAAATTTCTCGGAATTTGCAGAAACACAGGGATTCAAACATCATAAAGTCACGCCTAAGTGGGCAGAGGCAAATGGTGATGTTGAAAGAATAATCCAAACTATAACAAAAAATGTGAAGATAGCCAGAATTGAGGGGAAGAACATTCAGCAAGAGATTCAAACAACCGTTAGAAGTTATCGAGACACACCGCACATTAGCACGGGGAAAGCCCAAATAAGGTAATGTTCAGAAGGGAATTGAATGGTCGACTACCAGCTAAATTGTCGATACAGACAGTATGAGAATCGGTTCAACGGAGGGATGCAGAGTTCAAACAGAAATGCAAGATGGATACAGACAACACACCAAAGCAACTAACATAAGAATTGGAGATAAAGTCCTGGTGGAGCAAGACAAAATCGATGTTCTATCTCCCAGATATAACCCTGAGCCATTTGTGGTGGTCGAAGGGTTCAATGGTGACCGTCCAGAATGGCGAGAAAACGCTGTGCAGGAATACGGCTAAGTGCAAACTGTTGAAATATGAAGGTAATGAAGATAGTGGAGATGAATGGCAACCGTCATCAAAGAGACAGGTGCGGAATAATAGTAAAGAGACAACAGACGCTGAACGAAAAACGACAAACCAGGAGCAACGACCAACCAGGAACAGGATATCTACCAAAGACACAAAATATAAAGACTTCCTTATGTAGCCAGGGTGCAAGGACTCATAAAGGGATATTAAATACATATGAAAACTGAATAAATATGTTAGGGGAGAGATGTAGTGTAGTAGGCAATCAGATTCATATACGTATAATTATAAATTACTTATAAACACGCAGTCATGCAGTGCGAACAATAACAAAAAGACTCAAAAAGAGATATATTATAGACAGTCTGGATATAGCAGCATGAGAGTAAGATAGTAGCATATCAGTTTGTAAATGGTTAAAGAAATAAATAGACTTAAAGATTCAATACCCTACATAAACCTTGTTGAAAAAGTTGCATCTGCCTGCTTTTTCATATCCTCTCACGTTCTCAACATACCATCTTATAATGTACAAGTCAATTCCAACTGCGATCATCCCCCTGCGATTTGACCAGAGGTTATTCCTGCATAGGCGGTAATTTGACGAGAAAACATTCCCGCACTGTTGGGCATTTGACCCCTTTCATTTGACTGATCACTAGCACAAAATTGGCCAGCGGTCGCCTAAGTTGCTTGGTGTAGATGAATCTTGATGAACCTGATTTGTTTTCACATGTATAAAAACCAGATAAAAACACACTGCACGGTGTGAATAGTTTTTATATAAAATTCTGTTATATAAACTTTGGAACTCGACCAGGGATGTCAAAAAGGCTGTAAATGCAGAATTTGTCTCAAAAGTTATGTGTCTTTATGACATTTTATAGATAAAAAGAAAATTGAACTTACAATAGTAAGCATAAAAAGAAACAGCAGTGCAAAACTATATAAATTGCAAAACTAAAAGTTTTGAGCCGATCATAAAATAAATTAAATAAACATTTTATTAAAGTCTAGCTAGTTCTCTTCACATAAAATTATATGGGAAACGTACGAGGCAGATATGCTCAGGCATGTTAATGCCTGGGTCTGCCCACACTTGGATAATATCTTGCACACGCGGTCTTGTCAGTAATGCATCTGTTAGAATATGCGCCCCTTCTGTGAGTACTTTAGTGAATTTGGACGTTTGCTTCAAATCAAAATATAGTGTATATGAGCGACAGGATTATTTTGGAATATACAATGCAAAGAGTCAGTATACTATTCAGTTTTTATGTAATAATTGGCTCTTTATATAGCAATAAGTATTGTATCATTTGCGACAGCTGACCTTTGAACTGCTGATAAATAAAAGCTTCTTATAGTGTGCTATCTTGCGATTATTCAGTATTAATTGTTTCTTATTTTCAATGAAAAATTGCTTGTGAATTATAAATTAATTATAGCACGTATAGTTCACTCGTCTTTTCCACCATGGCATACTTCCCTTCAAGCATTAACTATGCTTCAAGATACCGGCTTGAATGCGCAATGAATGTTGTTATTGGAAATATAATATCCTTTAAAATAAGCGGCAGACTGTTTCGTTATGGCGTGTGAAATTCATCACTGAAATTTTGCTATTTTTATTAGCTAAAAACATTAACAAGGGAACAAAGTTTCCTGCGTTAATTTGGAAATCATACAAATATTTGTAGATAACATTTAATGACGCGATTACCATTTGTTTGATGCCGATCGTCGTAATATAGCCGCATAAAATAATGAAACAAAGCCTAAATGTAAACTTTCCAGATTCATTCAATAAACAGTGATATTATGTGTGAATGATTGTTGCAATTCTGCATCCTCACAGTCATGAAATATACTGCTGCAGAGCCTCTGAATAAAACATCATTTTTTGTGTTGTTTTTCGAAATATACATCACATGATCGTTGCCATGACAACGAAAAGTAGGTCCACTTTTAGAATCTCCTTTGATAAATCATATAAAACTTTAATGGTAATAATCAAGGCCATACTTTATGACTTTTTTATGTCTATTTTCGCTAAATACACAAACTGAGACTCAGGCATCAACATACCTGAGTGGGGCATTTGACTATGTTTTTGCCTGCACCGTTGGGAATTTGACAATGAGTTTCGCCCGCACTGTTGGAAATTTGACCATATTTTTTTGAAAAGTCAAATTCCTGGGAGTTCGCCCAAGAAGCGGGATGATCGCGGTTGGATTTGACTCGTACATAAATGGGTGTGGGTGTTGGAACACCCCCAGTCGCCAGGTAGTCAGCAAATTATCTAATCCCAGTTGGATAGGAAGGAAAGAAACTAAAATATTTGAGTGACACTGATTAAAAACTATTATTTATTACAAATTTCACCATTAAAACTTTGTTTTGAGCACAGGTGGCCCAATCTCGCAAGGATCAGAGTATAGTAATATATATTATTGTAAAAATATGTCATAAAATGTAAATATCAAAATGAAATTCACTCTTGCCTATTTGATAGTGTGTATTCTCGTTTTATTCTTCTTTTGTTGGACTAACATTCTCTGAGACTTTGGAGAATATTAGTCTAACAAAAGAGGAATAAAAGGAGAATACACACTATCAAATGGGCAAGTCAATTTCATTTTAAAATTTATATTTTATGACATATTTTTAGTATAATATACATTATTATACTGACCCTTGCAAGATTGCGACGCCTGTGTTTTGAGAAGCTGAGATTTTTTTTAAATGTGTTCTCAGAATGCAGGAAATGTTATTTCAGAGACCCAAATTTAAAAAATTTCCTGTATCCTGGAGGGGAGGGCAAAGAAAATGGGCCTTTTGGCAGTTTTGCCCCACCACTGAAAAATCCTTAAAAATGCACTGCCATCATGCTGGGAATCAAACCCGTTGGGATACTAGTCTTGACAGAGTATTGGACTAGTATTCCAAAGGTCACAGGTTCAATTTTCACCTTGGTCAAGCTAACACCGCGGAAAAACGTCTGTGCATGCACCGAATTACGAAAATATGGCGGGGAATTTGAATATCAATTTCTAAAACAAACACATGCTTATTAATTGGTCAAACATTAGTAAAACAAACAAGAAAATATAGCAAATGGGTAGACTAGACATTAATTGAAAGCGTCCTGGCATTTAACTCAATTCTATCCGCCAATATTAATTTCCGACGTATATGACGGGAAGATTAAATATTAAAGAACTTCGCGAGTATTTGCAGTAGACATACGAAAATACCACCAAAAAATTCTGCTTGATCGATACTATATATTCAGAAATATTCATATAATTTTATTGTTTCTTGCTCAATTTCAAGCGAATTTCTTACCTTGAAATGATCAATGCGGTGAAATTTATGCAAATGACACATTATCAATTTTGCTGTTGCATTTTGAATGTTCCGCCTGATTCAAATGCTCGTCTTTTTGCTTCTTTTCAACGTATAGTAATAATAAATATACCAAAAGAATCGCCATCTTCCATTCTATAGCTCGGAGCAGTCTTGGGAAATTGCGAAATAATCTA